CTTCTTCTTCTTCTTCTTCTTCTTCTTCTTCTTCTTCTTCGATGAGGTTTAATGGCAGTTGGCATCCAATATATGTTACCGCCACCAACTACATTGGAGTATAAATCTGTTATACTTTGTAACCCTACACTTATTCAAAAACCCACGACCCTATTGCACTATTCAACCCTATCTGATCCTACCCAACAACTAACCCTACACATATATACCACTATTTAATCAAAATATAAATCACCACCCCATTAACTCTTCTGCAGTAAAATCTCATACACTCAGGTACTTCTCTGCAGCTGCCACCTACACTCATTAAAAACCCGCTACCCCATTCCACTACTTTGACCCTATCTGCTCCTGCACCATGCCAACGGCCTGGGAGGACGGGACACCACCCCTAAACACACCCTGTAACTTCTGAAGTCACATTTCGTACCCCCAAGGACTTCCCTGCAGCTGCCACCACAACATCTATTTTCTGTGACTTACATTCCATCTCTGCGGCACAGTTGATAACCATTGCTATGAACGCTAAGAAGTGAACCTTAGTGAAGCATATATCACTTGTTGGCCTATCCCTCTGTGCTGGCACAGATCTACAGTACTACTCACTGGGATCCTCTCAGGATCCCTCATCCTTGAACCATCCTCCTCTACTTTCTTCAATGCCTCATCATGCAACACCTTCTGGAGTACTCTGACCCTGGCCACCTCAACCTGCCTACCTCGCAACGGAAAAATGGGCACCCCTACAGTTGACACACACAACTTTTTCAACCAAAGAAACACATCCCTCTGTCCCATGCCCTCCTGCACACATCCCACATCTTGGAATTTACCTCCTACACACTGCTGTGACATGACCATAAATGTGGCACCTGAAACACTGCAGTGGGTTTGGCACAAAAGCTCTAGCAGGATAACTCATACAGTGCCTTCTGAAAGTATTCAGACCCCTTGACTTTTTCCACATTTTGGTACGTTACAGCCTTATTCTAAAATTGTTTTTTTTTTTTTATAAAAAAATCTGCAATCTACACACAATACCCAATAATGACAATGCAAAAACAGGTTTTTAGATAGTTTGCAAATGTATTAAAAATAACAAACAGAAATACCTTATTTACATAAGTATTCAGACCCTTTGCTATGAGACTCGAAATTGAGCTCAGGTGCATCCTGTTTCCATTGCTCATTCTTGAGCTGTTTCTACAACTTGATTGGAGTCCACCTGTGGTAAATTCAATTAATTGGACATGATTTGGAAAGGCACACACCTGTCTATATAAGGTCCCACAGTTGACAGGGCATGTCAGAGCAAAAATCAAGCCATGAGGTCAAAGGAATTGTCCGTAGAGCTCCGAGACAGGAATGTGTCATGGCATAGATCTGGGGAAGGGTAAAAAAAAAAAAACTGCAGCATTGAAGGTCCCCAAGAACATAGTGGCCTCCATCATTCTTAAATGGAAGAAGTTTGGAACCACTAAGACTCTTCCTAGAGCTGACCGCCCTTCCAAACTGAGCAATCAGGGTAGAAGGGCCTTGGTCAGGGAGGTGACCAAGAACCCGATAGTCACTCTGACTGAGCTCCAGAGTTCCTCTGTGGAGATGGGAGAACCTTCCAGAAGGACAACCATCTCTGCAGCACTCCACCAATCAGGCCTTTACGGTAGAGTGGCCAGACGGAAGCCACTCCTCTGTAAAAGGCACATGACAGCCCTCTTGGAGTTTGCCAAAAGGCACCTAAAGACTCTCAGACCATGAGAAACCAGATTATCTGCTCTGATGACACCAAGATTGAACTCTTTGGCCTGAATGCCAAGCATCACATCTGGAGGAAACTTGACACCATCCCTACGGTGAAGCATGGTGGTGGCAGCATCATGCTGTGGTGAACAGAGCAAAGTACAGAGAGATCATTGATGAAAACCTGCTCAGGAGCGCTCAGGACCTCAAACTGGGGCAAAGGTTCACCTTCCAACTGGACAACGACCCTAAGCACACAGCCAAGAAAATGCAGGAGTGGCTTCGGGACAAGTCTCTGAATATCCTTGAGTGGCCCAGCCAGAGCCCGGACTTGAACCAGATCGAACATCTCTGGAGAGACCTGAAAATAGCTGTGCAGCAACGCTCCCCATCTAACCTGACAGAGCTTGAGAGGATCTGCAGAGAAGAATGGGAGAAACTCCCCAAAAACATGTGTGCCATGCTTGTACTGTCATACCTAAGAAGACGTGAGGCTGTAATCGCTGCCAAAGGTGCTTCAACAAAGTACTGAGTAAATGGTCTGAATAATTATGTAAATGTGATATTTCAGTTTTTGTTTTTCTTTATTCACAAAAAATGTCTAAAAACCTGTTTTCGCTTTGTCATTATGGGGTATTGTGTGTAGATTGATGACGAAAAAAAAACAATTTCATCAATTTTAGAATAAGGCTGTATCCTAACAAAATGTGGAAAAAGTCAAGGATCAAGTCAAGTCTGAAAACTTTCCGAAGGCACTGTATATCCTAACATTATTTTGTCGGGTAAAGACTCTGATTCAAAACTCAAAAGAACAGACTGTGATACATCTGTTTCACCACGCTCCCCACCGGGTCTGTGTCGCACCAAACGGGGGGCGTCACAAACACCAGGAATCTTCAACTTTAATTGCTCCATCTCCACACTTAACTCTACCCCAGAAATCACTCCCTTCAATGGTGCCCTATTCCTCAGACCAAAGCAAGACACAGATCTTGGCCCAAGTTGCATCGCTTGGAGCGCCCTCTCCCTCTGGGGGGAAGAAACACAAACAAGTCCACTTCGGGTTACCTTCATCGATTCAACAGCATCCAACACCTTTTCCACACAACCTGATACCACATATGGATCAGCCAAAAGGCCTGGATCCACTTTTTTCAAAAATCTCACTCCCACTGGACCAAACTCATCTTTATCATAACCATGTCCATTGCAAGGCTCGGCATCCCTCACTCTCCTCAACCTCTGACTCCCTCACTCTCCTCAACCTCTGACTCCCTCACCCTCTTCAACCTCTGACTCCCTCAGTCTCTTCAACCTCTGACTCCCTCACTCTCTTCAACCTCTGACTCCCTCACTCTCTTCAACCTCTGACTCCCTCACGCTCTTCAACCTCTGACTCCCCCACGCTCTTCAACCTCTGACTCCCTCAGTCTCTTCAACCTCTGACTCCCTCACGCTCTTCAACCTCTGACTCCCTCACCCTCTTCAACCTCTGCCTCCCTCCCTCACACTCTGACTCCCTTAGTCTCTTCAACCTCTGACTCCCTCACGCTCTTCAACCTCTGACTCCCTCACGCTCTTCAACCTCTGACTCCCTCACTATCTTCAACCTCTGACTCCCTCACGCTCTTCAACCTCTGACTCCCTCACTATCTTCAACCTCTGACTCCCTTACATTTTAGCCATTTAGCAGACGCTCTTATCCAGAGCGACTTACAGGAGCAATTAGGGTTAAGTGCCTTGCTCAAGGGCACATCGACAGATTTTTCACCTAGTCGGCTCGGGGATTAGAACCAGCGACCTTTCGGTTACTGGAACAACGCTCTTAACCACTAAGCGACCTGCCGTCTTAGTCTCTTCAACCTCTGCCTCCCTCAGTCTCTTCAACCTCTGCCTCCCTCAGTCTCTTCAACCTCTTCTTAATCCTCATTTTCCTCCTCCATTCCTCCCTCGAAAATCCCCCCTTTCCGTATCCCCGTCCCAATACTCCTCTTCTAGCGGCCTTGCTAGCGACCCGGTGGCATCCTAACGTAACTCCATCTCATAATCAGAATTAGACATGGCTGGTATACAATCGTCGGCTCAATGAAGACTCTGTGTGCACAAAATGCATGAACAATCCCCCACTCATCTTCAACGAGGGCACGCAGAGAAATGTCCCTCCTGTGCTGCACTCTGTAAAAAACGTTGAACGTCCTGACTGCGCTGCGACTTCGCAGTAGGCATATCAGATACGGTATTGTGGTTGCATGGCAGGTTACAGATGAATACTGTACTACCAACACACCAAATGCACAGGAGTGTTGTGAAATATTGAACACCAGTGCCATATAGATAAATCTAGGAGGTGGCTCTATTGACTCATCATGAAATGTAAAGTAAAAAGTAGGCCCAGCTCCCTGTTTCTTTACAGTGTTGACAGTAGAGGGTGGTGCATAGTCATACGACACCTCACTGGCTGTTGAACGCTGTAGGCTGGGAAGCCTCCTGTCGCTTAAAAAACAACAACAATGTGGATCAATATTTTCCGACAGTAAACAAAATATGAGTCTTCTTTTGTCTTTACTTTGACATATTACAGTGTTTTTTGAACACACATATTATCAGCAGTTCATGTTGAATGAACATCAAAGCAACAATTCAGGGGTTACACTTTAAGAATTCATACCGGTGTTTGTTTATTGTTGGCCATCAGATAATAGTGTGTGTGTGAGTCGGATAATGGACTGAACTACCCTGCTTAGCAGTGCTTTGTTTAGACAACTTGAACTTGAGGTGACTTGACATTAACTCATAAGCCTATAGATTTTACCTTGTGTTTCATTTAAGATGAGCTTTCAAAAAAAAAAAGAGTATGATGCCAATCCATTGCAATCAATGTCTTTCATTTTTCATGCCTTGCGAATAGCACTGATCATACCCTCCAACCGTCCCGCCATGACTGTGACCTGCTGAGGGAGCCGTTTGTGGAGGAGCAGGAGGCCAAGGCTGAGCTGCAGCGCGGCGTGTCCAAGGCCATTGGAGAGGTGGCTCAGTGGACGCATGTGAGAGAGTGGGGGCTGCTGCAATCCCAGGTTAGTGCAGGCTGCTTCTTGACCCAACACCTGTATGGACATATACTTATGTCAATTACAGTTGAGGCCTAATCAAGTCAGAAAATCTTATTCTCAAGTTGAAAAACTTGTGTTTCAGAATATCTACCTGCTGAGGACAAAGAAGAAGCTGAATGCTGACCTCAACTGACCCAACTCCAGGCTGAGATGGAGGCCAAAAATGCAGAGGAGAAAGCTAAGAAGGCCAAAATGGAGGTCACAGTCAAGGACCTGCAGCACCGCCTGGATGAGGCTGAGAATATGGCCATGAAGGGAGGCAAGAAGCAGCTCCAGAAACTGTAGACCAGGCTGAGTCAACAGCTATTGTGTTTTGATATGCAAATGCAGGCTCTTAAATTGATTGTATCCAGAGGAAGTGCAGACTGAGTGCAGTGGGAGGAACATCTCTAGGCTATAGCATCTGCACATCTGAATTTCAAATAGACATTTCAAAAGAAGTGCATATTAATTAAAATAACATATTGGAAAGAGTGAGATTCCAACCTTTGGACCCCCTGGGGTTGCAGGTGCGAGGGTTGAAGGGAGAATTGGAGGCTGAGCAGAGGAGGGGAGATGATGCCATCAAAGGAGTCAGGAAATTTGAGAGGAGAGTCAAGGAACTCTCCTACCAGGTAGAGGATGAATGTTTACTGAATTAATATAACCACTACTACTACTACTACTACTACTATGACTACTACTACTACTACTACTACTACTACTTACTACTACCGACTACTACGACTCCTACTACTATGACTACTACTATACTACTACTACTACTACTACTACTACTCTACTACCCGACTACTAATACTACTCTACTACTACTACCACTACGACTACTACTACTATGAATACTAATACTACTACTCCTCCTACTACTCGACTACTACGACATACTACTACTATGACTACTAATACTACTACTACCTACTCTAATACTAGACCTAACTACTACTACTACTACTACTTACTACTAATACTACTACGACTACTACTACTACGACTACCTACTACTTATGACTACTACTAATACTACTACTACTACTACTACTACTTACTTACTACTACTAGGACTCTACTACTACGGACTACTTACTACTACTATTGACTACTACTACTACCTATGACTACTACCTACTACGACTATTACTACTACTTACTGGACTACTACTACTACTTACTACTACTAGGACTACTACTATGACGACTACTACTACTACTACTATGACTACTACTACTACTACTACTACTATTACAGTACCTCTAACAGTAGTTTAATAATGATAATGATGATGATGATGCTGTGGGTATCCTGCGGAGGATGAAGACAACATGCTAATAAGAACATTTTCACATCTTCTTGGCGGAGGAGGACAACAGGAATGTGGACAAGCTGCAGCTGAAAGTAAAGGCCTACAAACGCCAGACCGAGGAAGCATTTTCTCTGTCATCTCTAACCCAACTCTAAATGGCTGCATATTATGTAAACATGATGTGAACCATGTTAACACTGAACCTCTCCACAGGAGAAGCAGGCTAACACCCACCTGACTAAGTGCAGGAAGGTGCAACATGATCTGGAGGAGGCATCTGAGAGGGCTGACATCGCTGAGTCCCAGGTCAACGAGATGATAGCCAAGAGCAGAGATACATGGGCTCAAAGGTATGTTGGCATTTATACCTGTATAGGGAAACGTTTTTCAGTAATGCCACAGTATTCATAGGTAGTGAAATTATATCAAACCTTTCTTTCTTCAAACAGAGCAAAGAACAGTGAAGACAACAGAATATATGCCTCAGAAGAATCATAAAACTGTTACAGGAGTGGGTCGCAGTTTCAGAGCGATCCACTAGGTGTCACCCTCCGACAACCACAGGGCACCTCCTCACTCACAGTCGGGACTAATCATCTGCCTATTGGTGTCACCTGTGGCTATCTGATTCACCTGTGTATTTATGCCCTCACTTCCCTTGCTCAGTTTTCTCTGCCAATTCCTTGATGTCAAGCAGTACGTGTCAGTGTCGGATCACGTGACGGAGTTACAGGTACTCGAGAAGTGTTCTCCCTGTGTCATTGTGTTTTTCCAGTCAGAGTTATTATTTTTCATATTGTTTGTTGTCAGCCTGTTTTTTGGAGACCTATGTGCTTCTCATTTGTTTTCGTGTATAGCCTGTTTTTGTATCCTGGCTTTTGGACCACCAGTAAAGATCCTTGTTTCACCATCCTCGCCTCCTGCCTACTGTCTATCCTGCACCACACCTGGGTCACACCTCACACCAACCCTTACAATAAAATGAGTTTTGTATGAGTTATGTACTACTATGCATGCTTGACTCGCTGTATGTGCTGTGTTAGACTACTATAATATGACTATGTTTAGGCCTATGCTATAATATCCTTTGGAAAATAGTGCATTTCTACCCGAAGTGTATTGGCTCCGCCTTGTGTTCCACTACCACTGTTTTCACTATCTGGCCTCCATTCACTTTTCACTTCAAGATCTAAGATTATTATATGTTTAATACATATCCTACCAGCCTATCAGGATTGTGAAATCTGTATCAAGTTCCATTGCAAAATACATTGTTGCACAAATTAAAGAAATACCACTACCTGTATTCTTTAGCCTAACTTTATTGAATATAACATCAAATAATTTAACTGATTGGAGCCCCTTTTCAACAGTTCACATTTTAGGAAAGTCACAATATTTTACAAGGTCGGGTTGTCAAACATTCATAAACATCACGTCTTGCAGTCTTCAATTGACAAAGGGTCCATTATATTTCAAGCCAGCTTTGGTTAAAGTTAGTAATTGATGACTAATGCTGCATTCATAACCAAGTGAGAAGGTGGCAATTATCAGTTGTGAAGTCGTAAATACCATTTGGATGCATTCACAAGCTCTGTCAACCATAAACAAACAAAAATACATTAATAGATTGCTTTTAATAAATCATGTTTCATTTAAATGCTGAACATGCTGTTATCCAGGTAATTTCCTTAGTAGGGAATATCACAGGTCAGCATGTGGGAGAAGTCGGAGCTCAGGGATGATACACGAGTTTCCCACCAGTAATTACCAGTTTTTCTGGTTCATTTACTGCAATGAACTACGCAGACCAGACCACCTGCTATTGCATTGATGTCTATGGGAGACCCACCCATTAAGCAGACCGGAACTGTCACCATGTTTTTCAATGGTAAACGGCCTGAGTAAGACGTCTTTATTTATCCATCATCTTTGATAACTCACGTGCAAAAGCACAAACGCCAGTACCGGGTTATGTCATAAAAAAGCGCAAGAGGAATTGCTGGAGCGCAGACTTGACTGGACTTCGCGGAAGAGTTCACACAAGTAGAGAAGCTCCCATACATACACACGCTCAAAGCGCAGAGTTAAGGATTCTATTGGCAGGGATACTTTTTCATTAATTCAAAAAGTAGGCTACTTTAACCTGATTCGCAAAATGTTGGATTGTTGACATTGATTCGCTAACTAATCAACATTACATGTTTTACAATAAATTATACTCTGAAAGAGCCAAGTGATTATCGAGGAGGGAGATCAGTCTGTGTGAATCTAGGTGCGGACCCGACGTTTTCCCAGAGAAGATAACGATGTCTGGATCTTATTGCAAAAGTTTATACTCCTTCAGCGGGGACCAACATCAGCAGGGTTTGACTTTCGAAGTGGGAGAAATCATAAGGATAGTTCATCCGTTGACTGGCGGCTGGTGGGAAGGAGAGCTGGATGGAGTCAGGGGATGGTTCCCATCAAGTTATGTTCAAGTCTTAGAGGTAAGTTGAATGTCCACTCTCGGCAGGGCTGGATTACCGAACGGGCACATAAGGTACTGAGGACTCCAGGACTCCTCATCCCTGACACATTCCATTGGAATTCTCAGATCCCCTGCCTGTTTGCCTGTGTCTGTCTGCATGAGTGCGCAGGGCAGATCGATGAGGAAGCATGCTACTCTGTCATAGCAGGGTGCAGGTGAAAACAGGGTTCACAGGAGGGCCCGAGAATCATTGGCAAAGGACAGTGTCTTGAATCAGGTTTTAGCCAAGAGCAACAACACAGCGAATTGCATTTTGTTTGATCAACTCTTGGCAAAAGGAAATGAACACTAGCCCAATGTTCACACTCATAGCCACAGTACCTTCAGGTGAATCACTGGATCAGAAATGAGATGGGTAGATGGGAGTAGATCTGTAGAATGTAGGCTGGTTGGCTGGCTGAGGAAGCTGGTACTCAACACACCTCAATCTGTCATTCAAAATACCAGCTTGATTTAGTTGTGTGGCGCTTGAAGGTTAACAGCTTAATTGTGATGTGGAGGAGGGCTGTTAATGAGTTACGAAAGAGTTACACTATATATACAAAAGTATGTGGACACCCCTTCAAATTAGTGGATTCAGCTATTTCAGCCACACCCGTTGCTGACAGGTGTATAAAATAGAATACACAACCAAACTGCTCCAAACTGCCTCTGGAACCAATATCAGCACAAGAACTGTTCGTCGGGAGCTTCATGAAATGGGTTCCCATGGCCGAGCAGCTGCACACAAGCCTAAGATCACCATGCGCAATGCCAAGCGTCGGCTGGAGTGGTGTAAAGATCGCCGCCATTGGAAACGCGTTCTCTGGAGTGATGAATCATGCTTCATCATCTGGCAGTCCAACGGACTAATCTGGGTTTGGCGGATGCCAGGAGAACGCTACCTGCCCCAATGCATAGTGCCAACTGTAAAGTTTGGTGGAGGAGGAATAATGGTCTGGGGATGTTTTTCACGGTTCGGGCTAGGCCCCTTAGTTCCAGTGAATGGTTTGTCGAGATCGGTGTGGAAGAACTTGACTGGCCTGCTCAGAGCCCTGACCTCAACCCCATCTAACACCTTTGGGATGAATTGGAACATCGACTGCGAGCCAGGCCTAATCACCCAACATCAGTGCCCGACCTCACTAATGATCTTGTGGCTGAATGGAAGCAAGTCCCCTCAGCAAAGTTCCAACATCTAGTGGAAAGCCTTCCCATAAGAGTGGAGGCTGTTATAGCAGCAAAGTGGGGACAAACTCCATATTAATGCCCATGATTTTGTTCGACGAGCAGGTGTCCACATACTTTTGGTCATGTAGTGTATGAGATGACCCTCAACTACACAATTTGATCCGTAAAATTTACCCTGAAGATTCAACCCTGTGAGAAGCTTTATGCACCATTGACCTCAGTGAGAAGACGGGCCTTTACCATCTGGTGGGCGAAATGGGGCTGCTACAGGCTAAATCTCAGCATCATTTTCAAAACGTGGTTTGGCATATTCACTAACACTGGTATGGCAGAAGCACACTATTGAGAACAGCCATAATGATGACAATACACTGTCATTGTAATAATGCATCTATTAAGATACCAAAATATGAGCTCTTGCATTGCATGATATGAATGCGGTATAGATATGCTATGGATATATTTAATTAACCATTAATAATGTGGTTAGGACCTGTTATAACACGTTTATGAAATGCTTATAGGTGTGTAATAAATGCGTTATGGACATGTAGTCAAAGTAACTCTTACCATACAGTCATATAAATCATATATTCAGACCAAGGTGTATTTAATGACAGGGGAATGTGTGTGTTCAGCGCTGGCGTAGTTTACAGTGCTGTGCTTTGATCTACATCTGAGACACGCTCCATTGTCATCTTCAGCAGACAAGGCTTTGTTCTCCAAACATGCTATTCTTCTTCTTCACACTCTGATGAATCATTGAACAGAAAACTTGTCATCAAGCCTGCTCTCGCCTTGACAGATCCTCAGCTCCTCAGCTCCACACAGTCCCCTTTAACTTGTAGACTTTAACCTTGTGCTGTTGTTATGGAAGCTGGAGAACGTGTAGTATAATTGGACCCTGGAGGCTCCTTTCAGATAAAGAGAACATTTTGGTATTTTGGTATTTTATTAGGATCCCCATTGAAGAGGATGATGGTTATAATAAGCTACACGTTTCCTGTTGCTATGGCAGTCATCACTGAGTGAGGGATGACAGCTGTGTTTGATTGAGGAACTGTTTGCTTCCTTTTTACTTTAATTTCCCGGCTCACTGATTGGCCGAGAGAGAGAGGAAATGTGGTTGTGTCATTTATGATGTTATGAGATGTTTAGGACAGTGTGGTTGAAGATGAACACTCCTAACTTCTCTGTCAGTAAAGTGCTGAGATGAGTATTTTTCTATATCAGTATGTGTCTACCCGTTGTCCATGTGGTCTTTACTGTATATACCGGTATGACTCTGGTGGTCATGACAACCTAACTGATAAACTACAGTGGTCCTGGTGAGTCCTGGATCATGACATTGAGTCATCAAGTCAAGTGATTGCTGATTAGTGCCACACTAAATGAGGTGGAGTTTAATGAGGAAGGAATTAGTTCAAAAGGAGAGAGGGAGAGATTCTCAATTGATAATTGGACAAAAGTCTGTCCTCTCCTCGATTCCTCCGTCATCCTTTCCTCCGAAAAGTTGTCACCATATGTAGCCTAGGGGTGTCAATTTGTTAATAGGAGAACAGAAAAGTTTTCTCTGGAGTGGCCTGAGAGACAGAATAACAAAAAAAATATCCAGAAAAACGCATGTAAATTTTTTTATAAATTGATT